TTTTAAATACTTTCAATCTCCAATCCTATTTCATGCAATTGTCCATGCACAAAAACCCCCCAAAATAAACCACCACCTATATTTCCTGCCTTTATGCTTTTGTTTAGGCAGCAATCTTACCCAGATGGGCAACTTTATTACTGCAGAAAAGCAGAAAACTTTCTTCAGTTACAAGATGCTGCACAAACTTGACTCCTGGATTAAGCATCTGGAATCAACAGATACTTGCCAGGCCTTCCACAAACAAACTAAAGCCAAAGGCAGCCTAAGTAATGTTTTCTAATTTTAGTTTTTCAGATAACATCCCCCCACTATGTGTAAAATTAGCTCTACAATAGTATTTCTGAGTAATCTGGTTATTCCTTTACATATTAAAACAAACAAAAATGCTCCAAAGCATAAAAAATACTAAATCTGAACACATATACTACTCTAGCTGCAAAACTCAATGCACAGTATGACACTTATGATTTTTTCAGACTGATCTATCTTCCTGCCTCTCTAAGAAGCTAGCTTCACTTCAACAACCAAAATGTATACTAAATGCAAATAAACAATAAAGCAGCAAGACTCAACACATTTTTTTTGCAACTACCCTTTTCACAGGACTAATGTGTTTTCATACAAAATAATATACTAAATCATAATAGCAATAATTTAGATTAATATCAAATAACTTGAAGATAAATGTGTCCACATTTTCAATAAACACAGACCCCATTTACTGGTGTCTTGGTGCTGTTATTAACCATGTGTCCTCACAATTACAGTCAGTTACTAAAGGAAAGCTTTTTTCTGCAAATACTTCTTGTGAGCAACTACACTCACACGAGTAAGCCCTCTCTGCTCTGGGGGACTGCTCCGCTGAGGTACAGTATTCCTGTCTTTGCAGACTCAGGCCTTCAGACTGAAGAGTATCAAGCTAGTGAGGAAGTACAAATACACACTGTAACACAGAAAGTAGAAGACAGACATACAGACGAAAGCACCCTGTGATGCTTTTGGGAGTTATAATATAAACATCATTTCCAAAGTATACAGTTCCAACTTGTAACACAGCATTTTGAGGGTATATTTTTTCTTTAACTAGAGCATTCCAAGACATTATACTTTTAAAGCTGTTCAGAGTAATGCAGCAAAATATTATATTAACAATAAAATTCACATGAGATTCAAGGGAAGATATAGAACTCTTAAATGAATTGGAATGAAATGGACCATAAATACATTAATCTGAATGCTTGTAAATACAAGAAAATTAAAGGCTGCAAGGAACAAATGAATGTTCATCTGTGGGCTTGGTTTCAGTGCCAAAATGATACAGCATTGTGCAAAAAACAGTTTATATTGGCACCTTTGTATTTTCCCTATCTTAGGTGTTTTAGAATGTGTTTCTTGCCCTAGCAAAAGGGATTGCCTTGCCTATGAATGGTGCCTGGCTAAGAGTCCTTCAGACCCTTTCAGTCTGTGTGTCAACTGGAACTGGCTCTCACTTCTTACTGAAAAGCACCATCATAATGTAAACTTTGTTTGCTCACACTATTGTGACTCCAAATGGGTTAGAGGAAGGGAGTTCAGTCTCCTGGCAAAGAGATTTTGAACACTGTGGAGCATGACAGGTTTTTAACAGTGCTTAATGGAAGGCAGATGCCGTGGATGTTGAATTCTGTTTGTTGGAATTAAACAGAGACAACTTCACTCTCATGACCAGTGACAGGACTCAAAGCTGCGTCAGGAGGGGTTACGTTGGACATCAGAAAAAGATTCTTCACCCAGAGGGTGACTGGGCACTGGAAAAAGCTCCCCAGGGAAGTGGTCACAGCACCAAGCCTGGTTCAGAGTTCAAGAGGTGTTTGGACAACACTCTTAGGCACATGGTGTGATTGTTGGAGTTAGACTCAATGATCCTGATAGGTCCCTTCCAACTCAGCATATTCTATGATTCCCTTAATATTCACCACCACAGAGTGATCAAAATTTTCAGACAGTGCTGCCCCTCTCTCTTTTTGAGATGGTAAACTGCAAGGTAATGCTTTTCATTTCAACTTACTACACACAATAGAAAGGAGAATGGCAGTGGGGAGGTGAAATAAATCAGAACAAAACAAAAGAAAGCTGGAACACCACAGGGTTGCTAGACATCTAAAGAGAAAAAGCCTCTAATCTCATGACGCTGCAATCCTTCTATCACGTTCTGATAGGTAACTTCAGTTCAAAATATGCATGGCAACCACACAAACACATCCCACCTGAGCTTACATAAGCCACCTTCTACAGCCTCATATCCACAAACTTCTTGCCAGCATCCAATTTCTGATGTACATTTTGTTGTAGGTGCAACCCATGCTTACAGCCACCTTTCTTAAAAGGGACTCAAAGATACAAGTCCCTGCAAGAAATCATGGCGAGTTTTTGTCTTGCTTGAAAAACACTTATTTAACCAACACGCTGCAGACTCAGGCTACATTTTAAACCCAGTCTGGTGGACCACAGATGAAGGATAATTGTTTGAGATATGTATCATCTACCTGAAATACAGTATTTTGTCTTTTCCCACAGAATGTCCAGAATTCAGTATCATTCCTTTTGTGTAGTGGGAGAGTTTTCTTAGGGGAGTTCTTACATCACTGCTGTTTAAAATGCAAAAAGTCAGCTGTCATAGAAACAGTAAACATACTGTCCCCTTTAGACCCAGGGGAAGACTTTTCCTTGGGAGAATATTTTGGTTTAAGGTCTATTTGTGCTTAGTACTTGTGGCAGAGCTCTGTATTTTACACTGCCATAGACGAAAGGGAGGGAATGAGCTTGATTACCTACATGAACACAACCTATCTTGAGAGCTGGGGACTGTTTCACAGTTGCTCCACCCTATGCTGGGAGGAATCCTCTTCCTGGGAATAGTGATCTTGGGGAAGCAGGGTAAGTGGTAGGACACTGGCATTGCTATTCTTGTATCCATCAAAAGCTTCTGTGTAACAGGGGAATCATTGTGTGTTCTTGTAAAAATGTGCATCACAGACAGTTGTTCAGGGATCTTCTGTACTTAGTAAATGATCTTCTGAATCCAAAGTTGTTTTGGCTGATCAACTGAACATTATGTTCAATCTAATCTATTCTAGCTATTGCTTTGCTTGAACCAAAAAGTGTGAAAGTAGCACACATTTTGCCATATTCTACTGTACTACTTCCCTGTTCCTAATGAGAAGCAAGGAAAAACTTGAGTACAAATCACTGGCTGGCCAAGACTGGAAGCTGCAGAGTCACAAGGCAATTCAGCTCACAGCCACTTCAGTGGTAGTGGAAGCACCAGCAAGGTCAGATACAAATGACAGGTAATTGCTACAGTGAGAGGAAGCAGGAAAGCTGGAAAACTGCTGAGGAACACACTCCTCAAGGCTTCCTTCACAGCGTCACAGAAGGATGACCTGGGACAAGGAAAGGAGTGCTTGAGTGGCTGAGTGATCTACCACTATAGGTATTTAACAAAAGCCAAGGAACTACTGTGGAGAATTAGAGGTTTCCCCTCCCTGGAACTGTGAAGTTTGTTTGTGCCAAGCCTAGTTGCTCATACTTAAGGGAAAGACCAAAATTAGCCACTCTGTGCCAACACTTACCCTGCCACTCATGCACATAGACTGGACACAACAAAAAGCCATGCAGGCCTCTTATTCTGCGTTTTTGGAGCTGGCATAGTAATAGTTAACAGTAGCTCTCCTGTTGGCAGAGCAGCTCAGAAAGCTCATTCCTACTCCACAACCTACGAAAAGTCTTTTCCCATGACAGATGATTTTGCATTATTCTTTACACTGGGTGTTGGACAGACTACTAAGCTCTCAGACTTTCTCGTGTAAGATGGTGAACCACCTGGACTGATCCAGAAAAACTTGCATGTGGATAACCTTATCAAAATCCAAGTGTGCAAAACCATCTCATTTTTGATGACCAAAGGATTTTCAATTTGCAGCAGGAGTCAACTTCTAATGCCAAACATTGCACACTAATAGACACTGTCAGTGGCTCTCCTGCAGCAGAGCTGTACATTCTCCAATGCCTCCAATGCAGCTGAACTACAGGCACTGTCTCTGTGAACAGCTTCATCTGCTGTCAAGCTGTCTCATAAGACTTTTTTTAATATCTACCCAGAAAAAGCTCAAGCTTATGCAAAATTTAAAAAATAGAGCTGTTGCTATGTTGAAGAAGTGCACTGGAACTCACGACTTGAGTTGGCCTAGGTATCTGGAACCTAAGTCCTGTTCATGAGTCTTGCTTTACCATCTTTTATCACAGGAAAAAACAAAACAACTGGAAAAAAGTTTTCCCCCTACGTTTATGTGTAACTTTTTCATGCAGTCAAACTCCCTTGCCAGCTCTCCTACTCTCTGCCCGTTTTTTCTCTTTCCATCACATCACGATTTTCCTCCTTCATCTAGCTACTACTCAAAATTGATCCTAACATTAAAGAACCGGGGTCTTACTTTTTTTAAAAAGGGGTGAGAATTAGCATAACATGATGTATATGTGAAAAATGGAATAAAATGAAGGGCTCCATATCATTGAACATTGATTTCAAATCCTTTAGGAGTAATTGTACATAGGAATCTGTCAGTGTGAAAATTCATTTTCCATTCAGTGGCAGAGACAGTCCTCTGTCTGGATTTAACATGAGCATGTCAATGCAATCAAGTAGCCATGTAAACACTAGAAAATGTGTTTTTTTCAGGCATGTGGATGGGTTTAAGGTGCAGAAAGCTAACAGTGTGAATGCTAATTTGGCTTGCTCAAAAATGGACAGTGAGCTTGAGAGCTTTACAACACATCCTTGCAGACACCGAAGTAAATCACAAAATCACAAGTTTAACATGATGTGTTTTCCCATCTCCTTTCAAACAGTACAGGCTGCTTTAGTGCAAATGAACATCTGAAGTGGTAGTTGAATAAATTCATACATGGATGATTTTCTTCCATAAAACCCTATTAACTTTGCAAAGTCACTGAAAAAGTATCAGTTTCAATGCATATTTAATACACATTGTTTGCATTTACATCTGTTACATCAAAAATATGCTCCTTTTCACTCATCCTGACTATTTTCCAAATAGTTCCTTTAAAATCTCCTTTCTAATCTTTAATTGTCAGCTGTTTGTGGGTGCCTTTTCTTCTTCTTTTTCAAATAAGGCAGTATATTTTGTCTGATCCTTTCTGGGAACAAAAAATCTGCTCCACCACAATCATCAACAATCAAAATACTATAGCAGAAGTTCTTTTTACTTTCTCTAGCCTTGCAAAAGTCTCATTATCATTGGGCTGGATAAAACCCATCAATATATCCCAACACAGATAAAATATGTAATGTGAAGGGAAAAAGACCAAATGGTTAAGGAGTTTCAATTTATCTTTGCTGTTTTGCACCATCATTCAATGAAGGCTGGAAAAATGAATATTGCAGAAGCTTCCACAGGACTTTTAAGTCACTAATTTTACTCACAGCAACCTTGGGTTTTTCTGCCCAAAAAGCAAAAGGCTCATCTAAGAATGGTACCGGTTAATTTTAGTTTCTGATGAGTACATGAAGAACTGATGGTATCTAATCAGCCTGGAAAAATCACTTTTGAGAACAAGTTCCCACTTGATTCAGTTCTGTTTGGGTGCCTATCACTGAATTAAAAACATACACATAATTTTTCACGAATACTTTTTAATGGAAAAATATACGAGTTTTGAGATTTTGAGTGTTACAGCTAAAGTAATGATTTTCAGCTGGTTTCTCCAAGAGTCTAATGAGCTCTTTTTCATATTATTTGTGCACACTACTCTTAAGTGGTCTTTATGGTTCTTACATTGTATATATATTGCATATCCGTATGCAATATTTGCTAAACTTCAAACAAAAGTGAAGAAGCAACACTTGGCAAAAGTATATTTGTCAGTTCGTTATGTCTACATCTTTCTTCTTTCAATGTTCTAGTTAAGTAAAATCAATGAGAAAACTTCTTTCTGTTTTACATAAATTATTGAGATTTCATGGTTACAGAGTCCAGAAACTAGAATTATATTACAGCCATTATCTAATAATTTGCAAGACGCAGATAGATAATAAAATAAAACAGCTCACAAATAAAATCTCAATTTGAGTCATACAGACTGTTAAAATTGTAGTCATGTTTTTGTACATCTGAACTGTACTTTCACAAAAAAACCCAGGATATGAAAATAAAACTTGGAAGCTTAAACATATAAAATCCCATTTAATTTTCTAGAGATCGTTTCTGACTTTCTTCTTTGAAAGTAACCTGCACACTCAACGCTTAGGAATCAAAAAGAAGTAAAAGTATAGCTTATTGATAGTCAGTTACTGCAGAGTTCACCTCTCTGTGAAAGTAAAAATATATTTCTTAAGTTTTCCCTCCACTAATGAAGTTTGGAAAAATGCTTTTTTTTTTTTACATACTAGTTTCAAGAAAATAATTTACACATAAAAAAGTGTGAAATCCTGTTAACATCACAGAAGATCTTGATATTTAGAAGCAGTTTTGAAGCAATAAAATAAATATGTTAGGTTCCTAAGCTTGCAATCAATTCAAGCTTCAAGCATACAACAACAAAATCACTCAAATAGCCTAGTAACTTCTAATTCACATTGTATATGAAAGTTAATCTATTCCTGAACCTATTGTATATGAAAAATATTAGCCAAGTGGTTCTATAAAACAGAGTTCTTAGAATAAATTTCCTCATTATTCAAATGTGTCTTATACATGGAACATAATTTATTAATGTGGCCTTTTAAACCAAACCGTGTGGCTTCTGATTCATATATGTATTTGACAACTGATGTGTTTTCAGTTGTGAGTCAGGTAAGTGCTCCAAGTTTGCTGGCTAAGAGACCAAAACAGCATGTTTTCTCTTTATTTCCCATATTAAAGTTGGTCTAATACCTAACAGCAGAAAGAATTATATGTATAATAAATCATGCTTCTCAAAGACAGTTAGTGAACCTGTGAAAAGCAGCAAGGCACAATATTTTCTTCTTATTCACTAAAACAACCACTGAGTATAAAAACCAAATAAGAGTTACAATGCTGGAAACCCTCCCCTATGCAGAAGATGATCAAATGCTGCAATTTAGTAATTCCTTTCATCAAAAAGGCTCTGTACCCATAGCCCTAAATTTTATATTTTTTGCAAACATGACAATGAAAAACAGGGGTTTTTTTGGTGTGTTTTAGGACAGAAGCAACAGGAAAAGATGCTCTATTATTGATCGTTGTGGACTAATAGGCTGAAAGAAACCTGGAGTGTGGGCACAGCCTACACAGAAATATGCACAAATCCTATTTTTGGAATTTTACTAACCACACAGATGGCAACACAGGGGTACACAAAACTAAGCCTAAGCAAGGAGGGGCACAAAGTTACTGTCTCACCACCGGTTTAGGTTGTGGGACTAAAAGAAGCAATATGTAGTAATAGGAATGGAGGGGACATTGACACTGTGTAGCTATGGTAAATTGGGAAGAATCTTGCTGGAAATAGCACCTGTGAGCACCACTGAAACCTGTTTTCATACGGGAACTGAAGGAGATAAACAGGAAGGCTGGTGTGAGCGTGGACAGGGGGAAAAGGAAAGGGCTGCACCAGATGGATTGCTATGGTTCAGCAATTAGCACTTCACTAGTTGGCTGTGGTGATTTTTTTCCTTGGCTTTTGGGTCTGTTCTTTTCTGCAGAATTATGTAGTAGTGATTGAAAGAAAAAAAAAGGTTGGTGGGAGATAGAAACTTCTCTCATTACTTAGAACACCCTGTTCTCTGCTAAGAAGAGCACAGTGCCTGGCTTGTGGGTGTTCTAGGAGCTATACTTAATACATCTTTTGTTATTCAGCATTTTTTAGCTGCTGTTGAACCACTGCTGTAGAAGAGAACACATACAGGCTTAGATATCACTAAGAAGAATTGCACTCTGAAGTCTTCCTTAAAGGTGTACAAAGAGTTTTCATCACAGCACTTTCTTTTTCACTTACACAATTCCTACATCCTACACATATGGCAGTAATGAGTAAAGGTACTAAAATATTAGAGCTATACCAGTAATATAAGAAGAGCAAGGGCATGGGTTTGAGCACAGTCCCACAGCTGTCTGTGCTGTCTAATTATAAATATGATTCCTGGCATGGTGTTAGCCAACGACAGTGCTTTGCCCAGCCAGAGAACAGGCTTTCTCAGTTTACTAGTGTAAGTGAAGCCCCACATGGTTTGGCAGGGATGACTGGAATACGATTAAGCCTATGGCATGTCAAATGGAATTTCTTCCTGAAGAGATCTGGAAAAGGAGATAATTTGAAAAATTGTTGGTCCTTTAAATCCAGGCCCTTGCTACAACAAGGACCCCATTAGAGAAATATTTTCCCTAACCGTGCCAAGATTCTTAGATTTCTTGGTTTTGTTCCTGCCATTCCCACTGGAAAGATGTTCCAGAATGTTACCATTAATGCAGCCCTTTGCAAACTGTTCTCCTGAATACTCTCATTTATAACCTGATCCTACTTTATTAAACAACATACAGCACCATGTTGCAGCAGCTCTGCTTCTGACTCCATAAGCCAGCTCCTGTTTTTCTCTGCTGCTTGCTTAGCTCTTTGATACTATGACTGGGAAATACTGCTCCAGTAGTTAAATTCCTGGTGATTTCCACATTCTCATTAGTTTTTGGGCCAACACTAACCTTTGGCTTAAAGTATTCTCTCCCCTCCTTTACTGTTTTTACCCTAATAATGTATCTACATTCAGCAACCATATTCTCTATTCTTTACTTTGCTAATCTTAATAGAACAGATTCTTACATGGAACAGATGCATGTTTCTATCTGGGAGTTTTAAGCCTATTTTGGAAAATATCATCTCCTCCTCTACATTTCCCCCTATATTAGTTGGAGGAAAGCTCTGGGCGAGTTCCCTGAGCAGTTGCTGGGAAGCCACACCAGCTGAATGCCCTGATAAGATATGTATGATAGATAGCTCCACGCTGGGTTAAATGTGGAATGATTTCAAAAGTGCTAAATTCCATAAAAAAACTTTTCTAACTGCTACTGTTGCAATCCTTTTGGCTCTGTTTGTTGTTCTACTTAGTGTTTAAAAATTGTTAGCAAAAATTTCACTCTGGCCCATCCTTCTCTGTGAATGTTAAAAATTATTCACACTTGGGTCCACTAACCCATACAGGAATAGGGTTGGGACAACACCAGTGCAGTGGGTCTGCAGTTCCCTTTGGGTGTAGGAACAAAGAGAATGACAAAGGCAAGGCTAAGATTAGAAGGTTTGCTGCTGTGACAGCTCCCTGGCCTTCAGCTTCTTGCTCACAGAGCTTCCAAAATTCTGGTATTATGGATCTGTGATATCTCTGTGTGCAGATGCTTTGTGCATGCTCTTGCCAGGCCTAATTTGCAACTTGCCTGTTCATTCTGGTTAGGTTTTGCATAGGCTCATCCTGGCCTTAAATAAAAGCACAGGCCACTGCATGCAAGCATGCAAGTGGTCCTTTTAAAATCTGGCTTGTTTAAAGCAGACCTAATTTAACCATATATCACAAACTTAAATGTCTAACAGTAACAAAAAGCTTTATCCAGGAGACAGATAAGATCCACTTACTATCCTAGCAGTGCACCATGACCCAGACAGTGCTGATACCTGAAACAGAGTTAACAGTGAAGTTCACCATAGGAGTGAGAGACCTGCCTGTGAAATGGCTACAAGTTCTCCCATCACAACTGGGAAAGTTATATTGCCCAACTCACTGCTAAGGACCTGCTTCTGCCAAGATGCCATGGACGAGGATACAATGCTGGCTCACCACCTAGACAAGATGAAATAGAGACGAGGAAGAGAGAAGCCTAGGGACTGTCACAGGAGTAAGCAAAGCTGGCTGCCTCACTTAGCATCGGTTATACTCATTGGACCAATATTTTCCCCCAAGTCATGTCCAGGTAAATGCACTGAAGTCATGCTAGGGGAATAGCTTTGATGGATTTAAAATATTTCTTTTTTGCCAGTACAGTATTAAAAAAATAAAAGTTTCTTTTCAAAATACTGAAAATATATTTTAGTTAAGGTAAAAATACTAAATATAAAAATTTCAGGTAATATTTAAAATAACTGTGCTATAAAGACAAGTAAATTGCTTAGTTATTTTGACATTCAAAAATGGCACATTGACCTTAGTGGAGAGGCATGTGCTAGTATCCCCACATGGTGGTATAGGAGAGAAGGTCATGCATTTCTGCATAGAATACAAACCTGCTTAGTAAGTGACATGTGAGGAATTTTGAGCATTAATGTTCATGCACTTGTGATGCATTGGGGGGTGTTGCAGGTAAGGCAGCACAGTATACAGAGTACAATGCAGCACAAATACTTCTCTGTGCTTATTACAGGTATAGGATTCTCTGCTTCTGAACCAGAAATATTTTTTTCTGTTTTTGCTTTTGGCTGACAACAAGAACAGGTTGAAGGTGAAAATCTGTATTGATTTTCATTGGCTCTGCTCATGTCTTTGAGCTGGATATCAGGAAATTATTTGGAATGAGATGAAGAAAATATGCTTGCAGCTGTTTCCAGGGGGGAATGATGGGTTAGATGATGGACTAGAATGTGTCTACATTTCAACACAGAAAGACCATTTGGGAATTGAAACAGTAAGAACAGGACAGTTCTTTGAAACATGCACACATACCTAGATAATAATTGCTTTGTGTATGAAAAAACCTAAAAGCTGAGACGTTTATTATGATCATCATCATCACTGTTAAATTTTTATAGAGCAACGAAGCGATAAATTAATTCATCCAAGTTTTCAAGTGGGGAAGCACCTGCATATGTGCTATGAATGAACAGTAGCTGAATGTGTTAGCACACATATCAATTAACTGCAGGTTGCAGAGATCTGGTATTTCAATGCCATTCTTTAAATATCACAGAATAATAATAATAATAAAGTACCAAATCATGCTTCAGCAGCTAGAGAGAGAGAGAGAGATTGCATCATATTTTGGCAGTGACTCGATCATCAAACACTGGCAGCATTCAAAGATAAAAGGATAAAATGGCAGCAAAACTGGTCAGCAGCTTCTCTTTGTCTGGAGTTTTCCCAGGTAGATAAACAAAACAAAAACAAAACAAACATAAAGCTGCAAAAGGAGCAGGTCAAAGCCCTGGCCCTTGCATTGCTCTGGTAAAAGTAAACTAGATTCATTTCCATGGATAAGCACATCACAATCCCAAAATAAAAGATAAGTGCATAAAACCTCCAAATAATTATCTCACTAGGACAGCTACGTGGTTTGTAGGGGACAGTGGCCTTGTCAGCTACATGTCTTGTTCATTTATGGTTCGTCTTCAGTCAGCACTTATGATGCATTCACCTCACTGGAGTTTTGGCTGGATGACACGTGACAGTCCAGATTCTCCTTGAATTTCTCCAGATCATGGAAATATGGGTGAGAGAGGGCAACATATGCAGATATTCTCTTGGCTGGGTTGAACGCTAAGCATTTCTGAAATTATGAAAAGAAGTTAGTTTTACCTAAAATGTACAGTTAACAGTGCTATTATTGCATACATCCATTAATGCATACCACCTTCAGTTTATGATCAATATGAGACACAACAGGGTCTCAGAAGGTGGTGCACAGTGACCATCCATATTAAAACAAGCAGGGGGTCACAGTATAAGAGTATGGCCACCTCAAAAATTACATGCTAGAAAATTCAAGTATTCACAGCCCTTGTCCAGCCAGCATTGAAATCTCTACCCCAGCCTTGCCTTTATACCTTGTTCTTTATGTCATTCACCTCCATGTGTTATTCTTCCCACTCTTCTTGTCTAACCAATTCCTAGTCTTACTTTCTTTTCTTGTATCAGAACTTCTATCATTTAACTTCTGAAATTTAATTCAGCGACTTCCAGTTCTACTCTTCCCTTTCATTCATGGCTCCCAGCTATCATCTCCTTGCCTAGCAGGAACAGATTTCCTACCTACCTCACCTTCTAGGCATAGATATTCATCTTCTTCCTCCCTCCCTCCCTCCCATCATGCCTCACACTCACTGAGCCCTCAGCCATGTATTATTCCTGATTGTTCCCAGAATCTAATTCTTGTCCCATGTCTAGCTTCCACTTCCAGGCTGTCTGTAAGCACAACAGGTTTTTCTCATAGCAGTATTTCTCCCTTGTCATTTTAAGTCTCCAGATGTAGTCCAGCTTTCTGCAGCTGGAAGCTGCTGTCATGAGGACACTGCAGGATCATCTGCTCTTGAGATAACCCTGGCCAGAGACAGCAGTTCCCGAAGAGATGCAATCAAGTCTTTCAAGAATTGCACTCTGCCTAGTTCACATGAATCGAGATCTTTAAAAGACTTCCAGAGAACAAATTTTACTAGATCTCAACAAGCCCAGCAAGAAGCAAACTGATGCAAGGTCATTCCCTATATTCCATTTCAAGGCTGAACTTCAGAACTGGGGTTTCTAATATATCTGTAACAACGATGAAAATAGCTGTACCAGCCCAATTCTTTTGCTTCTGTTCAGCCTTGCCATTTGCAAGAGGCAATAATTGGTGAATTCCAAGTGTCAAGTTGCAGCATTGAGTAGAAGGCTAGCAGATGTAATCTGCCACTACAGCCTATTTCCTGGTTTATACTGGGTCCACTACACCAAAAAAATGGTAGATCCATTTTTGTACTCACGTCAGGCCAAAACTGTAAGAATGGCTGCATCAGTGGCAATACAGTGCAGAGGATCTAATCATAAGGTCTGACAACAGGTCAAACAGATACATACCTGACCCAGTTTCCTAATCTTGAGCTATTCTCAGCTCTGACACCTCTTGAGCCAAAGGTAGTGTCTTTGTGCTGTGATTAACACCAATTGTCTTATCTATTTTTGACCTTTCTTTTACTAACTCCATTAAATGGAAACCTCATTTTTTCTTGGCAAATTGCATGCACAGTGGGAGCTATCAGTCATGTGAGATAGGGAACAACAAACAGAAACTCACAAGAAGCAAGTCTTTGCCTACTTCATCGATATCAGGTACAAATTTTTCAATAGGTTGTGCGGGTCTGGAAGTAAAAGCATTTCTTGGAAGGGCAACATCATTAGGCCAGTCCTCTTCTTCTGGGAGCCCAATTACACTGTGAAATGAAAAACATAATGTTAAGCCTGAAAATTTATGCAGTTTCCCCTTCATATGGAATACACTGAGCGGCATTTTATAAGCATTTTTGTTAAAATGAACTTAAATGCTTAATTGTACAGTAGTACAATAATCTCTCTGAATAGAAGCTGATAAACATAGGCCCTCAATGTGCTGCTTAGTAGAAATCATTTTGTGGGTAGCACAATTTTCTGGCCTAAGTCTCAATTTTCTGAGTCTTTTTACTGAAAAAAGGCTGAGTGCTTTAGAAAAAAGTTGCTTAGCTTTTGACTGGATGGTGCAACATATGTCACTCCAGGATGATTAAAAGCAGTAAGTTTCAAAGGGAATTGCATGCAAGGATCTTTTTTCACAAGAATAGGGACTGAGAGAAGAGTGTGGGTCAAGATGAGGGTAAGGCAATAAAAGGGATGTTTCATAATGCTTCAAAGCTACGTGCAGTAATTGTTGCCCAAATTTAAACAATTTATTTGCTTCACAATACAGGTTTTAAAGTCTCAATTTGGAAGTGGAAAGGCACTTGAGTGTCCTTGTGGTTTTGCTTTCAATTGTATTTTAGTTTTTCTTTACTTTTTGAAAAAAGAATATTTCATTTTCTTTAAATATTTTATTTCCTTATTCTTTAAATTATAGAAAATATTTATGCTTATTAAATAATCATGCTGAGTTCTAAAACTCAAATAAATTAAATAGTAGGTAAAGCACAACAATGAATTATGTCTCATAATTTTACATTTTAGTCTGATTTTTACATTTTAGCCTGATGTTAATATTTTTGGGGTTGAAAACCAGTTTCTGATGGAAATTCTGGAAAAGAACATACATTACTTGTTTGGTTTCAGTGAAAATAAATTTTTATAACCTGCAAAATACAGATTTTCAATGGAAACGCTGGCAGGGTTGGACAAGAAAGGACAGAAAAAAAACAATGTCACTGAATACTTGGGCCTGCACAAAGGCCAGTGCCACTAGGGAGCAGCATTGACCTTTCTTCTCACTGAGTTTGTCCCAAAGCTGGGTGAAGCTGTGGGCCAACCACACGGAGGTAAATCATAGGTTATACCTCAGCAAATGTAATGGAATTATCCCACCTCTACCTGTATGGACTTTAGACTGTAATTTGGCTCACCTAAAATACTTCTGAAAATTAATATGTCCTCAAAACAACAATATGGCTGGAAGGGCAAAGCAATTACAATCTCAAGACAATTAAATCTTACTACCTCTGGACATATCACAGCTCTTGGGAAACACTAAGTAGAATCTGTATGAAAAACCACACTTGCCATTTATCAGGTGCAGTGTGGGTATGGGGCAGCCCCCTTGGCCATGGCAGTCAAAGCCTTTTGATTAGATATTTCAGGATCTGACCCCATAATAAATATAATACAAATAGCATCAAAGATGGGAGAGTTCCGTATTTTAAATAACAATGACATTTAACTTGTCATTCAAATGTGTTTGGTTAGTCCCACTGTTTTTAACACTGCATGGCAGGGCTTGAACGGGGCAGAGCAAGCACAGGCACAGGCAAAGCTGTGTGACAAGAAACCAGGAGGCAGCCTGTCAGAAAGGGGTGGAAAGGAGAGACATTTTTAGTTACACACACAGAGTACTCAAAATCCTTTAATACTGAATGTCTGAGTAGCTGCTCCCACTCTAATGGTCTCGCAGCATCACCATTTCAGTGACTAAGTTTGGGAGCAGCTTGGATAAATTTCACCTCCTGCCAAAGGTTCAGGCCTGGTCTTGAGAAACGCTCAGTACTTTCCACTCCCATTGATCACAACGGGAGACAAGTCTGCTCAAACCATTGCAGTTCAGCCTGAAATATATGAGGATATGCCACATGCTGGTAGTGTCCTGGAAAAGCAGGAAAATGTTTTGAGCCATGTATAAGGGATTTACCCTCATACATAGTGGAATTTTACTGACACAAATCACAATGCACATGCAAAGCAAAGGCAGATCACAGCCTCATAATCTGAAAGAATTCATCAGTCCAGATTGCACGAAAATCCTGAAACTTCCTTCTGTCCAAATTGATCTCCAGAATGAGTCACTACTGTAGAAAGAAACAACCCTCCTACAAGAAGAGCTAGGCCTAACTGTAGGGGGTTCTCCAGCTGTGAAAACACAAAATAAACACTATTTGGCATAATCGTCAGAACTCAAGACAGAAACTTCTCAACTATTTAGGAAGAATCATACAAAAAAAGCAAACCCAAACTTTCTCTTTAAGCTGATGTGCAATAAGGAATTTCTTCTAAATTTAGCACAGCATTTTCTTTTCTTAGTGAATTCTTTTCTGCACAGGTAATCTCAGCCCCAAGGGATGGAAAAGATCCCCACTGGAGGCTGCCAATAGCAGCTATGCATTTCATCCTAGCCCAGTTCACTTTCATTTTCCTCTTAAATTACATAAATGAAAAAAATCACAGCTATGTCTTTTTATATTTAAAATATGTTGTATGTATCAAAGCTGTGTTCATTTAATAAAGCAGAATATTGAAGGACTAAAGTAGTAGTTTTGGCAGAAGAAGGTAAAGTAAACTTTAAGGACTGATTTTTCTGGATTGGGCAGGAAGAGCTATTTAGCGCATGACAAATTAACCACACAAGTGAGTCACATACTCATGGTATGGTATGCAGGAAAGGGAAGTCAACTGTGTGAAATCAAGACCTGCAATTTAGGAACTCCACATTAAATAATGAAAATGTTTAGAAACAGATCTGTTACGATCTGAGAACTGGAAAAATAGTCAAACAGAGAAATTCATTATTTGTTCAGTTTAAGCTTTTGCTAGAAATTTTACTATCTCCTCTTTGGAATATCTTCAAGAAAATAATGTTTTGGAATAACACTTCTCACTCTCTCTCTGTGCTACCTACTACTTATTTCATCCAGATCCCCGGATCCCTGTAGCTCCTTCATATGGAAAGAGGCAAACTGGCATTCGTTCTCTGGATTGGTAACATCTCTATGTGGTTTTTATTTCCTAACTACACTAGATGTACACCAGATCTTAAATTTACATGCCTCTTAAAAATACAAAAATGTTCATTACTCTGAAGAGCTTTTACAAGAAAAAGAAATATAATCCTACTGAATTATCATATCAGTAATAGCAATAACTTAATTTTGGATGAGAAATATTCCACTTCAGAGAGTTTAGAGTCTACCTGCCTCCTTACGTATTTGATGTATTTGAAAAACACAAACTCCTAGAACTGTAAAATGGTTTTAAATTAAAGTCAATTAATCTCTGAGAGAGCACATTAAAATGCTGATATTCCCTCAGTTCTCCCAGTTACCTTTCAGACCAAAATATGGACTGTTAACAAGCTAGACAACATATTTTAAAAGCTAACATACTTTTGGATGTTTGGAAGTCTTTTCTGCAAAGATGTTGTCGGTAATAATTTTAGAGAGTTCTGCTTTTAATGTATTATAATGCTGTTTTCTGCAATGCACAAAGAAATAAAGTAAAAAAAATAAAACCTCTGTGTTTGTTTACATGAAGAGAATCTCTTGGATTTAACTGTTTGTGAATATGTATGAATGGTACATGCACAGTATGTTTAAGACATTTAAAAAGCCCAAACCCAGAAGTCCCATAACCTCTTGATGATGGCTATCAGTTTTGCAGAACTATATTCCATGTTGCTTCCTCCTCCCACTCTAACACAGAATACACGGAAATATCATGTTGCATACGGTAGCAATAGGAAATATGTTCTAGGAATACTTTGTTCTAGTCACATTATTGCATAAAAACATGGCAAAGAAATCTCATAGGGTTTCAATGTTAAACAGATACTGACATAAGGCAACTAGTTATTACTTACTCAAAGATTTTTCCTAGTTGATCAACATCTGAATTTCCACGAAAGAGTGGTCTAAAAAATAAAAGAAAATGTTTTTAGGATGTGACTTGCTTCAATTAACGTAAATTTATATATGTCATTGACAGTTGCCAATGTAGGGTGAAAACGTGGGGCTTTTTTGAGACTTCGTATCTTCTGCTTCCATGCTTTATCCAGTCTGCAAGTGAACCTTTCAAGTTTCTACTAAAACTGGCAACAAAAGGGGACAGATGACACATATTTTTGAATACACTACTTTGGAAAATTTAATCGTGCCCTTCAGCATGAATGAAATAATTTTCCTTTAACTACTACTGTCCTATGAATTATATCATTAACAAAATAGTTTTCACTATGAAGAACACTAAAATAGCTGCTAAGAGAGATAAAAACAGATTGAATGTCATGCAACTTGTGAAAACATAATAAAAATTAGAGATTAATTATTATGAATATAAATTTAAAATTAAAATTTTTGCGTACTGTATATTGGAAATATACAGCTCCTAGATTTAAGGGGTCAAATAAATGACAATGGATTCATGAAGCTCTGTAAACAATGGGGTGTGAAACGGTACAGAATTTACCTTGAAGTAGAGGAATACTTCTGCTGCATAAATAAAGATATATTCAGGAAAGAAACAAATTGTTAGGCTGAATGTCCAAAGGCTTTAAAAAAAACAAACAGTGACTAAAAACACTTTCAGACACACTTTTTCTTTTCAAAGTGCAATTAAAATATTTTTTTACTCATCATGTATAAGATGGTATCACCCCATAGTGCCAATGTAAAATATGAAAATCTGATTTGTATGTCAGTATAGCTGTACTGCCAGCTTTGTGTTGAACTCAGGAAGGTGTGAACAACAGTGCAATTCGATGTTGAAACTCCCAACATATTTTAACATTTTACTGACAGATGAGTAAGGATCCAGCCAAGAACGAGAGATTTGTGAAGATCAGGCCACAGATGTCGTGTACCATTTTGGTTCAACAAATGGTAGATTACTCCAAGAAACACAACTCACACACACTACAAACTGAGATAGTAACCTGGGCTGACTGATAGCCAGGCTGCCCTCTCTTCTGGATCTCGGCTCTCTAAGTACAGAGTATGTTGTAAACTCATGGTTACAGCTTCTAGAACTGTTCAGCTGAGACACAGTGATTTGACAAACAATGCATAATCCCATGCTTTCACCTGCAGCCTTTTTTATGGGTTATGGAGAAACACCCATTCTCCTGCCTCTCTCTACATACTCCTCTTCTGTCTGATACAAGTTCTTGACACCAGTGACAGCCAAAGCCATAATTTCACTGCTGCTTTGCATAGGAGAAGAGCTCTCTCTAGACTGGAGAACAAGGAGTAGTCAGCTATGGTCCTTCCCCTCTCACTGCCCATATGCAGAAGCAGGTGTAGGATCTCGATCTCCTTTTGATAACCATGAGTTAATACTGAAAAATGGCACTTTCTATCTTGACACTCTCACAAAGGCAGCAGAGCTCCGTGTCACTGTGTGTCTTGTGGGTCCATTCCAAATACAGTAGGTAGGCACAGAACACTGTGACATTTCTTAGTCAGACACAACAATCTCTGCAGAAATCTGGGCCACCAATAAAAAGCAGTGAACTGGTAGGCATGCTGTTCTTTGATGAACTAAACATGCATTTTGCCTCCTTCTTATGTGCTGCCATTCAGGTCATGTCATATCGACTTACACTCCAAACTGCTTTGTGCAGGGACACTGAGAGAACAATTTAATCAAATCTGATTTGAAACCATCTGACATGAGATTTGATCTGATGGGGTAAAATGTGGTAGCCTGTTACTTGTCCGCAAAGGCCTTTATTTATTTTGATTGTGAATAAATCATACATAATTGGATATTTTGCTTCCCAGATACACATGATATTTACTAACTGTAGCCACTTTGACAAGACCATTGCAACTCATACTCTGGGATTTCTGGGGTTTTTTAAGCTTTAAGGTATATAGTAATACTGCTTCTATGAAAACCCAAAGCTTAACCCACTCAGACAGGAGCATCTACTTCTCTCCTAAGTTTGGGGCCTGATTTTCAGAACGTTCAGTAGTTACAATCCTAGCATTGCTTGTGGCAGCAGACACACACTGTATCTTCCAAAGTCAAGCAATATTACAGCCTACGACATTTTTTTGCTTGTAATTATTAACATATAGTTATTTTGAATTTTTAATTTCGGCTCCAGCATTAGATTATTGAGGCCCTTTAAACTAATAAAATCTACACATTCAAATAATCCTATCTATGCAAATGGAAAGCTGATTTAATGTTTTAAAATGTATGCTGAACCTTGCATTAATGTGAAAGCCTGGCAAAGGCAGTCTTGTTTGCAAATCACCTTAGGCAGTGTCATGCCAAAACAAGTACAATTCTTGGGATTTTTAAGGAAGGTTTTTCCCATCATTGCTACTGTCTCAAATTCACTAAGGGCTGAAGCAAGAATTTAAATTCTTTTGAAAGTATAATTATACAACACAAGGTGACCTTCCAACATACTTTGGTATTTCATCATAATGAAGTGTTATTAGTTCATCTTTCAGCCTCCTATCCATCCCACCATCATGACTACAACAAGATGCCAACTCCAGGTTAGGCATCACTAATAAAATGAAATTTGCCTCATGAATTTTGGCTCGAGGTTCAATTGGAATATTGGACAGATGATTGGGGAAACAGATTCACCTAATCAGCAGCTGTATGAAGTTCTCATTTCACATTTTGGCACTAGTTACTCCTTTGTAATGACTTGACAGCTCTGTAAGTCCAGTACACATAAAAACTTTCACATCAAGACAATTTAAAAAAAATTCTTAAAGGTGGACACCAGCTCCCCTACCACCTTTGAATTGAGAACACTCAGCAGCCACAGCAAAGCAAAATTTCACCTTTGTTCTTGGTATCTTTCACTTGACTCATACACCCACTCACTCCCTGAGGTTTATTTATGCAAGCTTGATCCAGAAGTCCTTTCTTCAGCAAATATTATCCTCTCTGTGATCATAATCTGTGTAAGACTGGTTAAATTCTGGAGCCTGATTTTGTACCATTCCTTCTTTTTTTCTTCAGGAAAGGCACGGAACTGGGTTTGTGTCCTGTGGTAGGGGATGTGAGTCTGTCCTCTGACTTCAAAAAACACTTGAAATCTGTGAGTACATGTATCTCAGGAAAGAGGGACATTCCCATGGATGAAAGAACTATCCATGGGGATGTACTCGCCTTTTGTGTGGATCCTCAATCCTCTCAAACATCCCTGACTTTGCTTGCTACAAAATCCATGCTCTGATGGCTCCAACACCACTGTTGTTACTGAACACACACCAAGTAGGGAAGAAGATGGGGAAAAAGATTTGGAGTGCACCTATGACATTTAATTTCCCTGTTTGCTCAAGAAGTCCCAGATGGTTCCCATGTTTGTTGGCTCTTGCTTCTCTGATTTTTCAGGGCAACAGAAGGAGGAAAGTGTTACAGGGAATATGCAAGTGTCCATCTTGTTTGACTACTTCTCCTGGCCGTGGAGTTAGGCCATTATCCACTGCCTCTGGAATGATGCCCACTGCATGGAGGAAAAGCCTTTTTTTGTCTGTTGTAGGACCAGAATGCCCTTAGCCTACAGATATGAAGATATGATGGAGGCATTGTATTACTTACCCTGTCCTGCTAAAATAAACCCCCCCGAGACAAAAAGCAAGTACCTGAGCTCCTGAGGTACGAAATTTGCAGCTGCACAATTAAATGGATATTAGCTATGAGTCTGCATTGTGAAAGCAGAAGCACAGAACACCCTCTGAACATAAAGAAACAATTTTTTAATGTGGGGGTGAGCAATCACTGGCTCGAAGAGGTTGTGGAGCCTCCCACCTTGGGGACATTCAAAAGCCATCTGGAGATGGTCCTGGGCAACCAGTTCGAGGTGATCCTGCCTGGGCTTGGACCAGATGACACCCAGAGGTCCTTGCAATCTCAACCATTCTGTGACTCTGTGATACTACAATAATAAAAATACGGATCACAATGTAAGGTTGCAATGGAAAACCTCACAAACCCTGAAATGTTACCATCTGCTTATAGTTTAAAAGGGCCTGCACCACTAGTTTTCTGGCCAAAAGGCTCTCCTGGTTATATATACCTCAACAAACAAGATTTAACCATTCACCAACTTTAGGCTCTTTTTCTCTTGTCCATGCCTTAGCTCATGCTTTTGCTCACGCTCATGCCGAGTTTCACCTTCACTGAATTCACCTTCTATCTGAACTGGGTATTAGTGTCTGAAAAGTTGAGTACTTTATAGACATTGTGTTTCATGTCTGTACTACCCAGTAAAAACTGAGATATAAATATTTCCTAAGCAAGTCTCCACTAAAGAATTTTTCCTGGTGCAACTCTACATATGCCAAAGCAATTTTTCAAAGTATTGTATACAATGACAATGCAATGACATGCAAGAGATAAATGAGTTTTAACTGCAAACTGGCCACTTTACTTCTAGACTTTATCTTCAGTCTTTGGTCTACAAACAAAGAGAATCTAAAGCTTTCCACAAGGAAAGTTAGAATTTTCATAAAGATTGGAGTTAAAGATATTGATGAGCACGGTTCTAGTCAAACTACAATGCAGACACAAGGACAAAACCTAATAAAACCACATGCATTGTAGCACAGGAAAAGATTTCTGCAGGTTTTTTGACAGTTACTGACATTTTTAACTAATTAGTGGCATTCTGATTTGAAACTATCTTTCCATTTCTGAAGTTGGTAAAATGGACACATGGAAGAAAGGTGACATGAAGAAAGACTGTTTTGAAGAGCGAAAAAAAGGTAAGAAATTCACTTTCTAACCAGAACATATTACTGAGCTCTCATGACAGTTCTGGAATTGCCAACACAAGTGCTTCCAAAGCTAGACAAGCTGAATCTCTTTCCACATTTGTAAGAAATAACATACAAAATAACTACCTATATTCTTTCTGCTAGTCCATTTGCTCATTGTGGT